CGCATAGGGGATTTACATGCGTTTTCTGTGGACAGCGTTTGTATTCGCTTTGGACCCGGTGACTGCAGCGTCACTCTCCGGCCGAGACCGAGCTACGTGCCTAAATCACTATCTACCCCCTTCAGAGCGCAGACTGTTTCGCTGTCTGCCCTGTCTTCTGAGTCATCGACCTCGCGTGATGCAGATGCTCAGATTTCAGTGTGCCCCGTCAGGGCTTTGAAGATTTACATTGACCGTTCCGCCAGCTTTCTGCAATCTGACCAGCTTTTCGTGTGCTGCGGTGGTTGTGCGAAGGGCCGGGCCGTGTCAAAAAGGAGGCTTTTGCCACTGGATTGTGGACGCTAACACGGCTGTTATACGAGCCAAGGTTTGGAATGTCCTTTGCACATTAGGGCCCACTCAACAAGAGCATCTGCCTCCTCCTGGTCGTGGTCGAGAGGTATGTCTATTCTGGATATATGCTTTGCAGCCGGCTGGTCTTCTCAGAATACCTTCGCCAGGTTTTTTTACAAGCTGGACGCTCAGTCCTTAGTCTCCCAAGTGCTGCCGGTGAGTGACTGATTCACGTTTATGCTACCTCTATTCATGTGTGTTTGCTGCATCACACAGTAATTACTCTGCGCAGCCCTATATGCTATTGTTGCTGTTGTCTGCCCTGTACTCAGTGCAGCTCCTGCTATTCAATGTCTAATTCGATTGGTGTACCATCATCATCTTATGTGTTATACTGCTGCTTAACACCGTTATCTCTGTGCAGCCCCCCCTCACAATACTGTGGTTGTTGTTGCTTCTGCCCTGTTTCTCAGCGCAGCATACGTTATCACTGACCAGATATGCAAATTTCGTATACCTGGGCTTTAGACGCTCATTGGCTTGTCTCCACCTATCAGCTGCGAGCCCGCCTAACAAGCGTCGCTACTGGTTGTGGGAATTGTGTGTTCTATCTTCGCTGAGTATGTGACTTGTACAGGCTGCTCGTAGCCTTTCTCACGGCGGGATTGAATATCGGAGAAATGTCTCTGTGATGTCTCGTGAAAGCTCGAGAGGGAACGTCTCCGGTTTCTATCGTAACCTCGGTTCCCTGAGAGTGGGAACGAGATATCACGGAGGTCGCCGTGTTCACTGCTCGACCAGCTATGCGGCGTTCAGTAGTATCAGATTCTGACGTAATTGTCGCGTGCACCGCATTTTATACTGCCTATTAATACTGCATATTAATATGTGTCAGTATTTGCATGCGATTTGCATACTTCGCGACAATTGGCTAGTCATTTGGACTGACGTGAGCCAATAGGACCTCAGGAAAGGTTGGAAGGGAAGGAGTTCCCATAACGGAGAAATGTCTCCGTGATGTCTCGTTCCCGCTCTCAGGGAACCGAGGTTACGATAGTAACCGGAGACGTTACCCATTTTGTGTAGTAACTGATAACATGAACTGTAGGCCATAACTTATCTTGGTTTCCTAGAAGCTGGACGGATAGTTTTTCACTAGTTGTCATGGCCAGAAATTGAGTTCTAGACTTTATTTTAAAAGACTGAACCTCTTATTATCTCACGGCTGTTTTCACGTGATCCGGGGGAAAGAATACAAGGATACAAGTCATTTCTTAGGTGCTGAGAGAGTGTTGTTGTGTTGAAAAGAGGTCACTGGGCTAATTTTATGCCCTCCGGTGTTGGAGACCATGCGCACTGCAAATCTAGGCCAGGCCAGTTACATAAGGAATAATGTATGACAGGGCAGAGCTCTGGAAATTAGGTTTGAGTTTCCCCAATAGCTATTAGTTTTTGTGTTCTGTCTTATTCTTTTGGGTTTCATGAATGGAGGTGTCAGTGTGTGCGTTTGTATGTGTGTGCTGGTGGAGTTTGTGCAGTTATGTGTGAGAGCCAGTATCTGGAGCATAGGGAGCTTTGTCCCTGTCTGGTCTCTAATCAGGGCTTTGGTTGCAGATAGTTTGTCTTTGGGCTCAGGCAGGTCTCTAGGACCAAATAACAGACACCGGTAGAAGGTCAGATGGGCCTTTCAGATAAATACTATAACCTCATAATGAAAGAACAAAGTTCTTTCAACGTTTAATAAAGTTAAAACATCACTTGTTTGTTGTAACAAGGACTGTCACAGTGTCGTGTGCTGATTTATTCATGCATTTATTCGTGTTTCTCGGTAAAGTCTGTAGTACTTAATTTCCCTTCAGCTGGTAATGCAGATGTGTAGAGAGGAAATAGCATGTTCTAATGTTTTAAACGGTCATGAATGAACAGATTTGTGAATGGAAACTCAGAGCATCTGTAGGTTTGAGGGACAGCTTGCAGAACAGGTGAAGCCTCAGGGCTTTGCTTTAGATCAGTAGTTCTCAAACGTTTCAGGCCACGTACCTGGTCAAGTCAAATCAGGACATCCCAGTACCATCTAGTCTCTAAACTGTTCGCTATATTTTGGAATCTGAAACAGTGTAGACAATCATAAAATGTAAAATAAAATACTTTATAAACAAATGTGCTTATCGATATACTCTTATCGATAAGCACATCGATAAGATGTACTCTTATCGATGACTCTTATTAGAATCAGTCCATTTGATGTGGATGTGCCTTTATGGTGGAAAGATAATACAAAAATACCTATACAGGACTTTTTTGATAAAGTGGTGGATGGCAATAGTTCCTATATCAGGATTGGTCAGTAACGTTTGGTGAAGCTCAAATTAACCTCTTCTGCTCAATTTTTTTTATTTTTTATATATATAAATGTTTAGACTTTACCTTTTTTTTGTTATGTTTAACTAGACTTTACCATACCTTTTTATTGTAGAATTATATCATGAACACTTCATGTTAAATTTTACATTTATTCCTGACAGATTTCTCCTGCAGTGCCTGGATGATCTTGATTCCAATCTAAGAAAACTCAATTCCCGCCTTTTTGTCATCCGAGGACAACCAGCCAATGTTTTTCCACGCCTTTTCAAGGTAGAATTATTCAGTTTAAAATATCTATGTCAATATGGTATCACAAAAAAAAATTTCAATGATTTGTCTAATTTCATGTCTTTCTGAAAGCCACACATTCCGGTTTAGTTTAATCCACTGCATCGGCGGTTTTGAGTAATTATCTAGTGTTTGTGATCATATCCTGCAGGAATGGGAAATATCCAGGTTGACCTTCGAGTATGACTCAGAACCGTTTGGGAAGGAGAGGGATGCAGCTATTAAAAAGCTTGCGATGGAGGCTGGGGTTGAAGTCGTTGTCAAGATCTCACACACCCTATACAACCTTGATAGGTAAGAGCTCATTTCCTTAAATTTAAAAAGTTACATTTTAAATACTGTTTCCTATAACCTGCTTAAATACCTGCAACTGTAAGTAATCCATTTATAGGTTGATTTCCCTAAAAAGTGTGAACACTCTAGCATCCTACTAGCCTGACACAGTAACTTTTGTTCAACTGAACGACATTTGAGTAGACTCCAGGAAGCATGTTTGATATTTATGTTTAAAAATGACACACCTCAGCTTTAATGATCTCCACCTGATCAATATCTAATGTCAGCTGTACCATTAGCTTTGCTTTTCTTTACATTAAGTTCTTGAAAGAACATCTAGAAATTGTCTCCTTACTTTTTCAAATAAGAGTTTTAAAGCTTGTGAAATGTGAACTGTACAAGTGGGAAGGATGGGGGCAAACAGGAAGACACTGACACTTTACCCTCCACATAATTTCAGGATCATTGAACTAAATGGTGGTCAGCCTCCCCTCACTTACAAACGGTTCCAGACACTGATCAGCCGAATGGATCCACCAGAGATGCCAGTGGAAACCCTCTCCAATACTATTATGGGCTGCTGCGTCACACCTGTCTCTGAAGACCATGGAGACAAATATGGTGTGCCATCGCTAGAAGAACTTGGTGAGCTGAATAAAGCTTTATCTATTGAGTTTATTTATATATACAGTATATATATATACAGTATATATATATAATTTATATATCATCTGAATGCTGACTAAATAAGCTTTCCATTGTTGAATAGTTTGTTAAGATAGAACAATATTTGGCCTAAATACAACTATTTGAAAATCTGGAATGTGAGGTTGCAAACAAAATCATAATATTGAGAAAATCGCCTTTAAAGTTGTCCAAATTAAGTTCTTAGCAATGCATATTAAGTTGAATTACTGAAATAAATTAACTTTTCCACGACATTCTTATTTATTGAGATGCACCTGTATACCCCAGCGACTTAAGACTGGTTTTGTGGTCCAGGGTTCGAACAACGTGAGGGTGAGTAAATGACACTGTTAAAATGAAGTAGACTTGACCTGAATGATAACATCACACTGTATCCATTTCCTGTGACCTAACACAAATGCATGAGTTTCGTAAACTGCAATACAAGAACCCATCAAGTTATGCAAGGTTAGCATTGTTTTTTAACCTACATTATCTTGACTCAGGATTTGACATCGAGGGACTACCTTCTGCTGTCTGGCCAGGAGGTGAAACAGAAGCATTAACAAGGATTGAAAGGCATCTGGAGCGAAAGGTGTGATCATATATAGATGCAGAACAGTTCTCAAACTCGGATTACCTGCAGCCATATGCCTGGTGGTGTTTAACAGCTAAAACAAATACAGCAAAGTGTTGTTACAACCATGATTTTTACTGTGTACTGTGCAGTTATTAGCCCAGTTTTGCAGTTATCGATGAATTGGTGGACCTTTTGCAGATACAATAAGTTAATGTATATCAGTCTTTAAAAGAACTAAGAAATATAAGGACAGATTGAAAGTGAAAATTAAAAGAAAAAATTGTAAAATTGTTAGTCCAACATGTACTGCATCATGTGCTTGTTAATAGCATACCAAACTTTATATTTTCCCTCCTAAATGTTTTTATAGGCTTGGGTTGCAAATTTTGAAAGACCCAGAATGAATGCCAACTCTTTGCTAGCCAGTCCGACTGGCCTGAGTCCCTACCTCCGTTTCGGCTGCCTCTCCTGCCGCCTCTTCTATTTCAAACTCACAGACCTCTATAGGAAGGTACAGACATGAATCTACACTATCCATCTGTGTATAAACCAAGTATAATTGCATTGTTTCACTTTTTAATGATGGTGTATCAGTATTAGGGTTAGACAATAATGGTATATATTGCATCTTGTATAATTATACAGTTCGTTTTCGCTGGGAGTTCAGGTCTATTTTTAATAAGTGTAAACAAATATATCTAGATTTGTGTGAAATTCTCCTTGCAGGTAAAGAAAAACAGCACTCCTCCGCTTTCCCTGTATGGTCAACTTCTGTGGAGGGAATTTTTCTACACTGCTGCCACCACCAACCCTCGATTTGATAAGATGGAAGGCAACCCAATCTGTGTGCGCATTCCCTGGGACAAGAACCTAGAGGCTTTGGCCAAATGGGCTGAAGCTAAGACAGGTTTTCCATGGATTGATGCCATTATGACCCAGCTGAGGCAGGAGGGCTGGATCCACCACTTGGCCCGTCATGCTGTCGCTTGTTTTCTCACTCGTGGAGACCTGTGGATCAGTTGGGAAGAGGGCATGAAGGTGCATCTCTTACACATGGGAGATAAACATTTTTTTTATTTTTTTATTTGATAAAGCAGTGATTTAAAACTGGGTTTCAGGGAGCCCCAGAAGACTATAAGGGAGTGTTAGGGAGTCTGTGGATGAAAATTTGAGAAAAAATATCATTATAAATATAATATTACAAATGTTGTCAATCTGATTGACAAAGTACTTCTTACAACCTCTTTTATTAACTGAATAGCACAGAGCGGCTCCATTTACATGTGCAACCCATTCCAGTGATACTAGATGCAGCCACACCATTTTGAGTCAAAACAGGTTGATCTGTGCTGCACTTTCAGTGGGTTGCTTTCCGTGAGTCAGTTGAATTACACGGTATAAGTTGTGCTCATGGCGGTGATGCAGTGTGGTCTACTTTTTGTTCTCAGAATAATACTTTGAATACATGAAGAGCATGTTTAGTTAGGATTGTATATGCATTTTTGAAGGGTGAATTTAAAAATGGCACTTCATTTCAGAAAGGTTGCTGTCCTCTGTTATAACAGAATATAAAAATAATATGCTTGATGGATTTGAGACCTTGTTTAGGTCACACTAGTAATGACAGTAGTGACCTACTTTTCATCAGCCGTGGTTGTAGAGGAATTTTATTTCCATGTCATGAAAAAAAAATTGCAGACTGACCCCTACTTTAAAACTGTAGTGTAAAGGTCTGTTTTTAATGGTTCTAAATGACTGCTTAATAACCACCATCTCTGATTGGCTGGAGAATAATGGTAGTTATAATTGACAGGTGTTCGAGGCGCTCCTATTGGATGCTGACTGGAGTGTAAATGCAGGCAGCTGGATGTGGCTCTCCTGTAGCTCTTTCTTTCAACAGTTCTTTCATTGCTACTGTCCAGTGGGTTTCGGCAGGTGCACCGACCCTAATGGCGATTTCATTAGGTTGGTAACATTTCTAAAAATGCACACCAATTCCAGGCTGAAAAGGCTGTTGTTTAAAAGCTAGAATGCGTTAAAAGATTAACAACACAGAAGGACAGTTTAATAGAATGAGGAAAAACATTTTTTTAAAGAAACTCAATTTAAAAAAAAAAATCCATTAAAGAAATGTGAAGAATTTTGGGGTCGTTTGGAAGGGAAATTCCTACATTCATGAAGATTTTAGACATTTGGGGGTCATATGCATAACTTTCATTGTACTACATGGCAGGATGTGTTTTATATATGACTGATATGCTGAAAAGTATCAGTTGAGGTCCAGACATGAATTCCAACATGAATTAGTCAAGAAAGCAAGCCTGTCCCAGGTAGTCTCTTTGTGTTCTAACTTTTCCATCTAAGGCCTTCCAGTTTCAGAATTTGGTGTTCAAAGATTTTGGTACTTTCCCAACACATTGTCCTCGTTATAGGTCCCTTCAAGAAACAGATGTCTGCTTGTAAACATTGCTGTCATCGTATTTGCCATAGCTCATACGCACGTTAGCCCAAAGCTTGTATGTTTTTGTGTTTCTGTGTGGTCGTCTCACGGATTGGGTGAAAAGTTCAGCTTTCCCTTTCCCCTTTGTGAATTGTGGTTGATTGCTTTTAAGACGAAAGCCATTCTTAGCCAAAGCATTTGGAAACCTGTTAGCTGTGAATGTGGTTGAAGCTTGATGCTTTATCAGCGGGAAATGCAGTAGCCTGTTCTTTAGCTCTGTAGCATCTTGTTTCATCAAAAGGGATTTTAACCGCTTGGTAGGGAAATACATACGAAGCCTGGCCTGTTTTCAATGCATAGAGAGCCACATTGCATTCCCCAGAGAGCATGATGGGAGGTGGGGCCCAAACACAAAGACTTCAGTCTAGCTCTGGACAACTCCTCCTTATCAGACTCTTTTTGAAATGTTTAGCAGTCCTCTAGGTGTTGAATGCAGCCCTGCCTGTGCAAGAGAACGCGAGTCTGTTGAACCCCGTCCCAACGAAGTCACTCACGGTTCATAGGTCACCTAGTAATTTCTCAAATCTGCTTCTGTACATGTAACGTGTTTCTGGCCGTTTGCTTATTCAGGCAGGATGTGACTGTTCCTGGCAAAAGGGTTCTGGTCTCTTTTGGCAAAACGAGGGGGCCACCCAGCAGCGGAGAACAGTATACTTCGTTTCTCCTTTGGCGGCTAACAGGTTTCTCTGCCTTGACTTGGGATCACTGTCGTCTCAAAAGCGATCAGTGGCAGTGCGAGGGGCAGGGAGCGAACCTGAACCTCTCACTCAGCCCTGAGTTTCAATTTGTTGAAGCGGGTGGGATGGGGGTGCTGTGTCATTGGATCGGGAGGGATTGGTAGGGCCTGGTCACTGCCTCTGCTTTCTAATGCGTGTTGTAGTAGGAATCTCCGTAGTGTCTCAGCACAGGCGGGACCTGTTGTCCTGTTTAAACTGCGTCCGCCTGTCTGCGAGCCGTGCCTCCTGCAGCCCTCCGTCCCCATGCTCTGGTAAGGTGGAGCACCTTAGGTAGGTGGCCTTTTCTGTCCCTGGGACCTGGAGGAGAGACGCAAGCCCTGATTTCAGTAGCGCTTGAATTGTTCAGTTCTTTTGCATTTGTTATTTTGTTGTCGTTACTATATGGTGGTGTGCTGACCGTTTTATTTGTAGTATGAATTGGCACATATCTATATGTTCACAATTATGATATTACAAAAATACCATTTTGAGATCCCTGTAAATTAATCCCTAGCACAAGCTGCTTGTTGTAATCTGAGAAACCGTGTCGTTCTTTTTGTACCTGCTTGTTCAAACATGGGAACCCAATAACCATCTCACATAACCTTCCTCATGTTTATGATGAGACTGTGGTTTAATCTCTCTTTGTTCTTTCAGACGATATTTACCTATTCTCAGAGGATTCCCTGCGAAATATATCTATGACCCTTGGAACGCCCCAGACTCTGTGCAGGCCGCTGCCAAGTGCATCATCGGTGTCCACTACCCCAAACCCATGGTGAACCATGCTGAAGCGAGCCGCCTCAACATCGAGAGGATGAAGCAGATCTACCAACAGCTTTCACGCTACAGAGGACTTGGCAAGAATTTCACTGTCTTCTATTAGCAAGCAACTATTTATCTTGCATGCAATCATATTTATCAGTGAAAACAAGCCTTACATGCAGTTGTAATGCTAGAAGTTCTAGCAAATGCTTAAATGGTACATTGTAGCAGTAGAAGATAATTCTACATTCTATTTTACCAGGACTTCTGGCCTCCGTACCATCCACACACAACGGGAATGGGAATGGGATGTCGTACTCCCCAGGGGAACAGCAGTCCGGGACCAATACACCAAGTGAATATAATTTTTTTCCTCTTCATTTGAGATTGTAGACAAAGAAATGAAAACTTCTTTTACTTTAAGCCTATCGGCATTTTTTTTTTCTTAAATGTTTTAAGAAGGCTAATAAATAAAGGTTAACAACTTTTTGGTTCATTTAAAAGCAATTCTATTTTTAAACCAAGGAATTTATCTTTGACAGGATAGTTCACCCAAAACTATCCCTGCATAGACAGCAATGCAACTACCACATTTAAAGGGTTACTCCACCCCAAAATGAAAATTTTGTCATTAATCACTTACCCCCAAGTCATTCCAAACCCGTAAAAGCTTCGTTCGTCTTCGGAACACAATTTCAGATATTTTGTGACTGTCCCATTGACTGCCAAGTAAATAACGCTGTCAAGGCCCAGAAAAGTATGAAAGACATCGTCAGAATAGTCCATCTGCCATCAGTGGTTCAATCTGAATTTCATGAAGCGACGAGAATACTTTTTGTACGCAAAGAAAACAAAAATAACGACTTTATTCAACAAGTCAAGTCAAGTCAAGTCAAGTTTGCTTTATTGTCAATTCTTCCACATGTACAGCACATACATACAGAGAATTGAAATTGCGTTACTCTCAGACCCTTGGTGCATACAGATAACACTAACAGTAGAACATAAATACAGATAGATACAGATTAAATATAAAATACAAATATACAAATAAGGTGAAATGTAAAAAAATATATAAAGCAGCACAAGGCACATGGCAGATAGAGTGCAAACCAGTGAAGTGAACAAACAGTGCAGATATAATGATTTGTAGTGCAAAAGAGCTTATTCAGACTGATTAAAGTGACAAAGCTCAGAGTTCTTTATTTAAACTTTCAGAAGAGGTAGTTGAATGAGGTTAGTTCAGTGCTGAATGAGGTAGTGAGCAGACCAATGCTGCACAAAGTGACTGGTGCAGGTCCCAGTGTGTTAGTGGGAGGGGGGAGTGGAAGGACCTGGGGATGTGGGAGCTGGGGGGGCTCTGAGGTTGAGAGTTCAGTGGTGCATGGGGCAAAAGAGGTGGTTGAAATCCCCATCTAAGATGAGAAAAGCATCTGGGTGGGCTGTCTGCTGCTCACTGATGTGCTGGTACAGTTCATTTAGTGCCTCGCTCCTGTAGCGCTTACCCCTCTTCTGCTTCCTCTCACGCTGCTTGTGGCGCCTCCACTGTGGGCGAGATGCAGTAGTGGGGGTCGGTGATGGTGTGGGCCTCCGGAGCAGACCGAGATCCCGCAGCTCTTCGGCGTGCGCAGAGTTTAACTCTAAAAATGTGGTTCTGCCGACATCGAGCAGAAACTCACGACTGTATGCGCGCTTAAAGACAGGTAGACGCGATGAAGACGTACAAAAACACTGCGACTCACAAGACAAAACACATGAAAACACCGTTCTGACAGGAGAGAGAGAAGCCGCAGCGTGTGCACGTGCCGTCATCTAAACATCAATAATCAATAATCAATAACATCTTAACAATTTGTCTCCTCTGCGTCACCGTAGCGCCATTTTGGAGAGTATCCACTGAAAGTAAACTGCGTATGCTGTTCTGTGTCAGCCGCACCACACGGATACGTTTTCTACATTTATTTACGCTTTGATTTGAACGAAAACAGCGTATACGCATACGCAGTTTACTTTCAGTGGATACTCTCCAAAATGGCGCTACAGTGACGCGGAGGAGACGAATTGTTGAATAAAGTCGTTATTTTTGTTTTCTTTTCGTACAAAAAGTATTCTCGTCGCTTCATGAAATTCAGATAGAACCACTGATGGCAGATGGACTATTCTGACGATGTCTTTCATACTTTTCTGGGCCTTGACAGTGTTATTTATTGGCAGTCAATGGGACAGTCACAAGCCTCCTGGTTTTCATCCAAAATATCTTACATTTTGTTCTGAATAGAGGTCTGCACGGGCTTTAAGCTGAATCCCGAACCCGACCCGTACCCGAGATCGTCTGACCCGGCCAGACCCGACCCGAGCGGCACAGTTAAATTTAGAGCCCGAACCCGAAATCTTTTTTTTCCCCCCCACAACGAATAGCCAATAAAAAAAAAATGCTGTATTTCACGATTGCATGCAACGGTCAGTAAACAAATACATGTAAAGAAACAGAATCAATAAGGCTCGGCCAGTTCACAAGGCAAAAGAAAAACACTTAACAGTTATGAAAGTTTATGAACATCATAACCTTCGGTCACATAAATTCTGCCGAGTTTTTGAATGGTTGTATACGACAAGACGATAATTCTTCCATCGTGCAAATTATGGTCATTTTTGTCAGTTAAGGCTCGTTAGCCTTCGGCCTGCTTTAAATCAGACACCGAGATGCAGTAAGATCGCATTTATTTGAATTAATTAATTATATTTATTTGAATTAGTGAGAGAGAGAGAAAGAGTGAGAGAGAGGGATGAAAGTTGCATGTGTGAACCTGCGTCTGTGCGCCTCTCTCTACAAGCAATGAGGCTTAGTTACTTCAAAAACAGCGATTTTACCCCCTCATTGCAGAGAAATATAAAGTTGCGAGTCAGTAGCCTGTCGAAGCTATTTTACTAATAAAAGTTTCCATGCTGTGTTGTCGTTGTCGTGTACACTAATTTGTGTGCATGTGTCTATGAAAGCAGCTACTGGCTACTGCATATAGTTTTAGTTTAGCTATAAACCCGAGCCCGACCTGAACCCGAAGCTATTCATTAAACATTAACCCGAACCCGACCCGAAACCCGAAAGTATTTCGGGACCCGTCGGGCTCGGGTCGGGTAGCAGACCTCTAGTTCTGAAGACGAACGAAGCTTTTACGGGTTTGGAACCACATGGGGGTAAGTGAATAATGACAAAATTTTCATTTTGGGGTGGAGTAACCCTTTAAGGCACAGAAAGGTAGTAAGGACATTGCTAAAATAGTCCATGTGACAACAGTGGTTCAACTGTAATTTTATGAAGCTACGAGAATACGTTTTGTGTGCCAAGAAAACCAAAACAACGACTTTATTTGACAATTTCTTCTCTTCCGTGTCAGTCTTGGACGTGCGTTCACGATAGTACCAAGAATATTTTAACAATGTCCTTACTATCTTTCTGGGCCTTGAATGTGCTAGTTCTGTTGCTGTCTATGCAGGGTCAGAAAGCTCTCTGATTTCATCAAAAATATATTAATTTGTGTTCCGAAGATAAACAAAGGTCTTATGTGTTTGGAATGACATGAGGGTGAGTAATTAATGACAGAATTTTTATTTTTGGGTGAACTATCCCTTTAATAATTGAAGACAAAGTAAAGGATAATATAATATAATAAATACATGTAAAACGACAGACTTAAGTCGTGGGAACAATTCATGTTTGTTTTTGTTTTTTTTGCATGTCATGTACATACTGATGTGACATAAATTTACTTTTTGACATCCCAAAAGCACCAACTGTGTCAGGCGGTTCCAGTGGTAACAGGAGTGGAAGTATTCTGCTGAACTTTGACAGTGAAGTGTATCAGGGACCAAGTGGAATTCAGCAACAACAACAGCAGCAGCGGCAGCAATTAGGTGTCACCTTTCACACTTTAATACACTAATAGATTTACTGGTGTAAATGATTGTTAATTGCAAAATTAGCAGCATAAGATCTGTTTTCTCATGCAGTTTTTTTTCCTCTTGCTTGTTTTCCAGGATACCACCACATGCCCGACACAGGGCACAGCAGTCAACTTTACAAATGTAATGTCTCACACGACATGGCAGGTCCACAACATTCAGGTAACAGTCATGGAAATGTGTACTGCATGTTACATGAGTATCATACAGTTAATATATCATACAGTTTATATATCCCTATTTACAACATTCTGTGTGGTGTTCAGCAGGACACCTGCTGCACTCAGGAGGAAGTGTGAGAGGTAAGAGGGAACGAGAGTCGGAACAAGATCTTGATGGTGAAGATGACACCCTCTCCACCTCTCACAAGTTACAACGGCAAATTGCAGAGGTCACGTCGGTTCATGCTACCAGCGGGAACCAGTCAAGTATGGTAAATATAACTCACTTCAATCCTTGATATATAAATGTTAAGAAATCATACATTGTATTTAAGATTTATATTTTTCTGTTCTTTTTCCAGAAGAGTTAGATGGACGTATCATCGTACTGAGCAGAGCAGATTCAAACCAAGACCGCAGTCTGAAGGGGACTGACTTTAAATCTGGTTTCCTTTAAACAAGTCATATTTGGGGATTTATTTTATTTTATTTTTTAGTTTTTTCTTCCGTTTTTCCCCATCTCTTTTTCCCTTTTCTTACATGTTCAATTGAGATGAATATTAACTGAGAATTTATTTTGATCAGTTAATAAAATTCAGTTGCTTTAAAAAGAAGTGAATGATTTCACATCCATTGACAGACAAAAACAACCATAAAAAGATTTTTCCTTGGTAAACCCCTTTCTTTCTCTTTTGCCCATCTTTGCACAGGTTAGGGTTTATTTAATCTTAAGTGAACCATACCAAGTGGGATATATTTATCAGCTTTTACCAAGCATGATAAAGCTGAGCTTTATTGTACACTCATTGCAGCTAGGATTTTGTGAGGATTTTTACAGTTTGATTGGCACCAGCACCAGCCATAGGTTGGAACCACAAACTACAACCATCACACAACACTTTTGTACATTTTTCTCTGACATTTTCTCATTGTACAATTTCACTGATTCTCAGTAGAGTGGTGTACGTGCCACTTTTTGTAAACAGAAAAATTTATACAGGTATATTTTATATATTGGTGTTTCGTTCTTTGCCAGTTCAATGTATTAGTGTTTACTCAGAAAATCCATATATAAATAAATATTAAATACCAGCAGAGCGGACAATTTAAAATTGGGTTTAAAGATTTCTAAATTTTAAAATCATCTACATAAAATTGTTGCTTAACTGGTTTTTAACCTTGAACCCATTTGTAAATTTGATCAGGGACAGAGCTGTGGTGGAATGTGGTTCTTGAATGTTTTTAAATGGGCTACAATGGCCCATTAAATGCATCTGTAGATTAGCTACAGTATCTTCTTCATTGTCATGCTTGGCAGACACACACAGACAGCTGATCTTCGCGGTCGGGCCTTAAACACTGATTAAAAACGCCAACCTAAACTCTGCCAAAGCCAGGAAATGACACTGGAAAAGAACATTTTCCTAGCTCAACATCGATCACTACAGTACATCTATGAAATAAAGCTTTATGGATCTTTAGGAAGGAAATGTTTGGAAATGAAGACACCCTGTTGTATCTGTGACCCTTAAGACTTCTTAGCAGATTATACATGCATTTTTTTATTTTAAAAATTCTTAAGTATTTGAAATAAATTAATCTGTTTGTGCATGTTCAGGTAAAGCAAAAGCATAATCTGACAGTATTAATCTTATCACATTTTTACATTGACCGACATTCCAAAAACATGCTAAACATTGACTAAAAATCACTTTTTTTTTCATTGTGATAATTAGGATTCTGAAAATATTTAGCCTCTGTATTTGGCCACAAATGCTTTATACCAAATGCCCCCTACTGACCAAATATCATTTAATTTAGCTGTTGGTTTTTTACCATATTGTCAAGAAATAAAAAAAAAAAAAAAATTCTGAAGTACAAATATCTTTGTTAAATTAAACTAAAAATAAATGATCAGTTTGGGAATATATATGTGCTATCTGAAGAAAAATTCTTTAAAAAAACTTTTTTTTATTCAGTACAAACAAATATCAGCCACAACAACTGAGAATTCTGAAAAATGCACAACAATGTTTACAGTATCACAAACACACATGCCATGACAACTATTGTGTATAACTAGACCATGTATATAAAGATATGGGCCCTTGAGTTCATGTTTGGTTGTTTATCATGATGATCTGGCAACCTCTCACGGAACTGGACTAAAGCTATTGGGTCTGAATTTGTGTTTGTATAGCTGGATCTGCTTTGACACCATGACATCTCTATTGCTTTTGCCGACCAGGAAGTGTTCAGTTCTATATGTGAATGTTTTGATATGACAATTGTAGAAACCTCAGTGCTTTTTGACTGTAATATCTCAGTGCTATTATAGTTTGTTTTTTGTTCCAGCGGAAGAAGTGAACCATTTCTGTTTTCTCCCCATTTGAGTTGTGTATTTGTTTGAATTTTGTTTTTATTTCTTTTCTGTTAAATAAATGTGACGTCAAGTAACAAGAACAAAAAGTAACAAAATAATTAAAGGGAACAATACAAAAATTAATGACTATATTCAATTGGAATTGCTGTATCAAGTAAAAATTCAAAATCCTTCATTATTTATTTATTTTATATTGTTACATTATTTATTTGTCATTTTTGCAGGTTTGGTCCTCCATATATAATAACTGAACATCTTCAGGTAAAAGTAAGTTACTTTTGTGGGAATGCAATGAGTATCTGCGACCACTGGAGGGTGTGGTTGATGCTTATAAAAATTCATTGGGCATTGCGTGGGCTTGTCCCGTGCATAGCTGTGTTTATACAGGATTCCACATAGTTTTTGAGAATTTGTTTTAGTTTCTCTCATAACACAAAGTGATGAAAACAAGATTTGAGTATTTTGCTCTCTGTTTTTCCTCAAGCAGCATCTGCTATTGCTGTTCTGTGAATGTAATGAAGTTTGCAAACTTTAGTAGGTCATTTGACCAAAAAGTAGGCTAAGAGAACCCGATAAAAAATAAAGAAAACTGAGTAAAAATTTAATTCAGCATTGTTTCTGTTTTGTATTCGGTTTCTCATAATTGTCAGAGTCTGTGGGGACTGTGAGTTTCATTCACACAGCCCAATTTTGTTCTCTATCAGAGGCTTGGCACACAACATGAAGGGGAAAAAAGGGTTGAGATGTCTTGGGCCCTCGAAAAGCAGGGAAATTTGGCCTCTCCGGGAGCCATTGCAGCACCTACTCTTGTTTTTAGATTGCCATGTGCCTTGAATACACAAGTATGACAAAAAATGCAATGGAAAACTTTTTTGCCATCCTTAAACTGGCATCGTGATTTAGTGAATCAGAATGAAACTCACTAGCGTTTCCTGTTCTCTATTCGTGGTGGTGCATAGCTCCGATTGCGTTGTTTTTTGTGCCCAGGACCTCAATCCAGACCCTGATTTGTATGTTAGTGTACTCAAGGGGCCAAAACTAGTTGCCACAGCAACTGTGTTGAATCTCTCACGGACCCCCCGTCCCCTTCCACCCTCTCTCAGCCTCCCCTCTCAGAACTCTGTGAAACAAAACAAACATTGTCCCTTAACAAGGCGAGGAGAGACAGCGTTCTGTTCAGAAGTGCGGGACATTCAGGTCATATTAGTCCTTCCTCACTGAGTTTAGTCTGAGAATAAGAGAGTCCCCACATACAGGACACTCACCACTTTCTCACGTCTGCTGAGGGTGACTTAAAACGGGAAGCCCTGGAATCACCTCACCAGACTGTCATTTTGCCCATGCCAAGGTAGCTTTTAAAGGTGTACACAAATATTTGTTGAGTGCATCCTTCAGAAAGGAAGAAGGTTAGAGGTCTGTCTTGTCTTGGGCCCTAAATCTGTCTTTCATCTGTTAATACTCTCATTTCAATGCAGAATGGAAATTAAATTAGAGGTTGTTTCATTAGGCCTTCAGAAAAAACGGCACGCTTGCCTCTGAGCGCGCGATGAGTGTTTTTTTTTTTTAATGTCTGGGAATTTTAATAGGTTTATAATAAATGTATCGCATTCAATTCTAAAACTATTAGGTGGTTTTGTGCTGACCAATTAATCACAACCTCGTTCCTTTTCTTTTCTCGGTTGGAGACTAAAGAGTTTTGCAGCATGACGTCAAATATATGTTTGTCTACTGAGATCAGTAGCTATCTCTTGTTCAAAAGGACTCTTGTTCAATAAGAACTCATGACACTGAACAATAATGTGGACAATGCAATAAAGTAAATTTGAATGCAATTGAATTAACATGAAGTAAATCACAATTGTACTTTCCAAACCCAAATATGAACGTCAGAAGCCTACCTCTCTTAATGTTTTTTTTTTTCAATTCCATGATTTACTGTAGTATAATGCTTCCTGTCCTATTGGCATTGAGTGTTGTGGAGAGATTTGTTGATTTGTGGCACAAACTTCATTGCAGGGAACAGAGCCTCGTCTGTTCTCCTGCAGTCATTATGGCCAGTGGAGCTCTCTCTTAAAGCCCTGCTCAGTTCTCTAATGAGGCCATTCTCTACCTCTCTCACTTGTCTTCTGAATCTCTGACAGGCTTTGAGCACAAGCCAAAACCACAAGACAGTAGAGGTCCAGCCCCTTCCCAACAACCCCTGCAGCAACACACGTCAGTCTAACCCAAACATTTGTATCTTTGATTTAGTTTATTATGTTTCACGGTCCGCTGAATGGTAGATGATCAATTTGAAGATGTGTTTTTCGAGAGCCTGGAAAAAAATGCATCTTTTATATGACTAATGACTCCATTCAGTGTTTAAACTAGCTTCCATACACACTGGTCAGCACACCGACAGACATGACAAGCGTACAAACGTTGCATTATTAACAAATTCTTTGATTCCTACATTGACAAGAAAAGGTGGCAAATCCAAGTGGGTTTGTTCACACTTGGCCATTCTGGAAAAACACGTGAATTTTTAGACGGTATCTTGGCAACTCAGCCGTAGTCTGGCTATTGATATTCACAGTAGAAGCTTCCATCTCCTTTTCAGAACAATAGAAACCTTATGGGAATGAAGAAACCAAGTCTGCAAGGACAAATCTTCTCCCTCAGGCCCTGATGGACATTTGAGAGATTAGTACAACTCTTGACGCTATTTCTTGAAATTTCAAAGATGAATGAGACAACAAATTATTTAAAGGCATTTATTGAATAGAGGTTTATCAAAAGTTTATGGACTTTTAAAAGAATTTGCTTATGAAAGCAGCTATGTGCAAAAGTTACAATAGTCCCTTGAGGAGGTACACCATTCAATTTGTCTTTTTGTCCTACCGTACTACATGAAAGGGCACGAAAATCTAGTTTTCTCAGGGAGTTTGCTTTTAAAAATGATCTATTTACATTCTAATACAGCTGGGTGTTTATATACAGAACTTGACAATCAATGGTGTAGACAAATGTTCAGTGGTTATGAAAAAAGTGGCATTAATTAAAATTAGTGATAAATAACATTTGCCTGAGTAACAGACAAATACTCCTTACATTTTTGTTTCACAAGTTTTCTATTATATGAACAAGATGATGTGTTATTTGTGATCTGGTAGTATTCACTGCATTTCTGATCTCACAGAGTGTTTAGCTAAATATTTATACACTCTGAGCTATGTGTAAAATTCATAATTGTCTGTACAGAAATGTAGAACTATGAATGTGGGACATTTGAAGTCAAAATTACAGTGACTTGAGTGGAGACCCTGGTGATATATTAAAGGGATAGTTCACACAAAAATCAAAATTCTGGCATCATTTACTCCCCCTAATGTTGTTCCAACCCTGTATGACTTCCTTTCTTCTGCGGAACACAAAAGAGGATATAATGAAGAATTGTTTTGTCCATACAATGAAAGTCAATGGGGTCCAAAACAACACAGGACCCCACTTGGCTTCTATTGTATGGACATAAACATGGAGACGACTTACAACATATCTTCTTTTGTGTTCTACAGATGACAAAGTGTCAATGGTCTGAAATGACATGAGGGTAAGTAAATTATTGGGTGAATTATCCTTTTAAGACTTTATAGGTACATTGAGCCATCCTGAGATATTATGGAATGAATCTTTAGATTTATGCCAAACTTAGATCTTTAGATCTTAACTAAAAATGTTTTTTTCCCACTAAGTTTGTTCCAAAACCAAAATTGCAAATTGGCCTCAGATTTGTTGAACAATGCTAACGTGCTCCAACATAACACTAAGAACTGCTAATGTAATGATGGCCACTTGTGGATAATGGGAAGAAGGTAGGTTGTAGGTTCCATGTCATCTCATGATGTCATCAATTGGGGACGGGATCCACCTACTCAGCTGCCAATGGACAAGATGGTTGAACTGTCCTTGGCTTTGTCAAAAAAAATGGAGGACACGTCATTAGTGGTCTTGAGCTTGCCTTCAGCGACGTTTTGGGTGGATGAAGAGTTGCTCGGTTGGCATTCTTCACAGCAGCAGCAGCAACAGTCCATGAAGGCCTGGCCCAGAGACTTGCACAGGCAAAGCAGCAGCACTGGTGTCACAGATGACTTGAAGAACAGAAAGAACTGGTTTATGAGGGCCAGAAGAGAAGTCACCTCCTCAGACACCTGGATAGGAGCATATGCCAAAGTCAGGTTGCAAACGTTCTCCGGCAGCGTGCAGACACCATAGACCACTGCTAGAGCCATGACTGTGCAGTTGAGCTGCCGTTCGATTTGCTGAGCGTGCTGAAGCTTTTGTTTTTTGGATGGAGATCGTTCCTCGGGCCGCTTGGGAGAACTTCCGCTCCCGCCGGATACATGACAGGTGGCCAGCTGACAGAGCAGAGTGAAGACAACAGGTAGACAGAAGTAACAGCCGAAGTACCACCACATGCGTGCGTCGTGGTAGTTGATAACGAGAGAATAGATGGATTCGGGGAGATCTGGATATGGACTCATGATGCAGGTGTCCACTTGGTCACCCAGACCAGGTGGTGTCACCTGATGCAGCTGCCACAGGAGCAGCTCAGGAGCCGCTAGCACCATGGAGCCAATCCACACCACCGCCAGCTTGGCTAGGACCTTCTGACAGTGCTCAACTCGTCGGGCCTTTGGCATGGAGCTTGTGGCAGCGTGGAAGCGGTCAATGCCCAAAGCACACAGACTGAAGGTTGTCACGCCAAGAGAGGTTACCTGGAGGGTGTGCAGAAAATCAGTATTGCTATAATATACATTAGTGTTTTTCATGATGTTTTTTTAACGCATCCATATTAAAATTGTGGTCAAAATAGACAAGGTGCTAATTATCATTGCACTTAATGTAGCATTTATTTTTTTCGTTTTATTTTTTGAATCTTTTAAAATACTACTATCAATGTCATAATGACATTGATAGTAGTATTTTAAAAGATTCAGTTACAAAAAAATAAAAATAAAAAACTAAATGCTACAAGTGAATTTAGGAATCATAACAGTATACAATAAAGTATGAAAAATTGATATTCATCTGAGACTTGATAAAAAATATAATATTGCTATTAAATTATTTTACATTTGAAAATGTTACTAAATTACTAGCTCTCTTAAAGTTAATATTACTAGATGAGATAAGATGTTGACAAAGGTAATCAATATGTTAAAATAAGGGGAAATGCACATTTTAATTGATCAATAATAATAAATCAGAATTTGTAACATTGCCATATATATAACCAATATGGTGCTGCTGATACATTGTGCATCCCTCTTGATTGTCATAAATAGTAACAGATTTACATATAGATTTGTAAGCTTTTTAGGTGACTACTACATGGGTGTTTATAATTGTTAATTCTATGTGTTTTATGAAAACATTAAAGCTAAAATTAAAAGGTTATGTTACATGGTCTGTAGTGTTTGAAATCCAGAATACTGTGTCTGCCTGAATTTAAAAGTTTCTGTTAACAAAATTATTGGCACTATCTAAACTTTGGCCACATTTCCAATATATTCAGGTAATTTAGGCCATGAGATATTGATCAAGATTAAATGTAAACTTGACACTATGACTTAGAAGGGCCTCACCTCTATGTAAGGCACAACTCTGCAGGAGAAATCTCCCAGCAGCCTCTTATTGGTGAGTTCATTAAAGACCACCACAGGCAGACAGAAGCACAACACCAGAAAATCCCAAAAAGCCAAACTTGCAAGAAAGTAGTTCCATGCGCTCCTCATGAAGTAATTTTGCCACACAATGCACATTACTGCCAGATTACCCACGACGCCGAAGGCAAACACCACAAAAGCAAGAAAGAGAATCCCATGAGCACTGTAAGAGCTGTCAGTGATGGGAAACAAAGGATTGTGGATTTTTGTGATGCTCCTTTTTGTTGGATCACTATTAGGAACCTGTTCACTAGTCACATCAGTGCTGTTTCCATTTTCAGGCAGTGTGAAATTGGTCATCTCTGTGAAGGGCAAAGGACTTGCAGTTTGTGTGTCCATGGATCCTTTATCTTCCTCTTCCACATCGAGCACTTCTTGCTGTGTGCTTTCTTGTGAATCATGTTGATTAAAACTATCCTCCTCAACAGGTGTCGTGTCTTGACTTGAAGCACAAGCACTCAGAAGCAAAGCCAGTGTCATAAGATAAATCAATTTATAATCGTGTATCCCCATCTTCAAGGCAAAGTCCAGTAATATACAAGTCAGAGGAAATTGCTTCGAAATCAGTAACTAAAAACAGACAGCAGAGGCTGAGGTAAAGACCCTGGTGAAGGCACTGCTGCAGTTTCTGCAGTCCTGTTAACCAGAGAGGAGCTCTCTTATCAAAGCTATGGATGGCTGCTCCCTCTCAATAGGGGTCCATGGAGTCACACCCCCTTTTGCTGTTCTCCCTCACTGACTGATGGGTGTGATTGCCCTCTGCTGGCATTAAAATGCTGTTTTAAAGCACTGTAATTTCACTTTAATTTACTGAACTGAGAGTTTTTAACATGACTGTTAAAGTGAAATAAATAAAACTAGTTTTCAAGCTGTGGCGAATTAAAGAGATGAAACAAAATGCATAAATGCACATACTACCAGTCAGAAGTTTGGAATAATTGAGGTTTTTGAAACAAATCTCTTGCTCACTAAGGCTTTAATATCTTTTAAACTGCAATTTTTTTTTCCCTGTGGTTTCAGCATCCATTACTCCAGTCTTCAGTGTCAGATGATCCTTCAGAAATCATTCTAATATGCCAATTTGGTGCTTAGTTATTAATAATAATTCGTATTACGTTGACAGACATGGGTTAAAAAGCTGGTTAGACAATCCTTTAAAGATGACATGACTGAAGTTATCATGTCTGAATTTCTAGGAATCTAGATTAGAACGGGTTAGATTAGAAAACTGGATTGCTTCCAGAAAAAAATTAGATTAGAATGGAAAAAAAAACATGCATGTGTAAAAATACCATCTCTATCTCTGTGTTTAATCTCAATCAGCATGATATCTGTTAAGCAGAGTTTGCGATACAATCGCAGACTTGTATGAATATATCACCTTTGACTGAAAAGTTTTATTTTTTTTGCTGCAGTTCCTGCTTTGGTCTGGGGAGGCCGCAGTTTTTCAACACAGAAACACAGATGGCAATGGCTCTTCACAGACCACCAGTAATGCATTTTAAATTACCACAGTCAAATGCACTGTGTGTGCCAAAATGTGTCAGCTACACACTTTCAGAATCCATGTGTATAATGCTTAGTAAAGCAACACTAACAATATAAGTGTAACATGCTGCTAGTGATTCAGAAATTTCTTCCTTCTCTTCCCTTTTGGGTTGTGCATAATGTATTTGCATGCCATCATTCATTAATTTTTAAATATGCCTAATACTAAAATCCATTAGTTAACCAATGATATTCACATGCAGAAAGCTAAATTTGTTAGCTCAAGATTATTTGCTCTAGATAGGCCTACAGTAAATGACTTAAAGTTCCCATGGCATGAAAATGTCACTTTATGAGGTTTTTTTTAACATTAATATGAGTTCCCCTAGCCTGCCTATGGTCCCCCAGTGGCTAGAAATGGCGATAGGTGTAAACCGAGCCCTGGGTATCCTGCTTTGCCTTTGAGAAAATGAAAGCGCAGATGGCCCAATCTGGAATATTCCCTTTATGTCGTCATACGGGGAAAGGTTACCTCCCCTTTCTCTGCTTTGCCCGCCCAGAGAATTTGGCCCGCCCATGAGAAAATGAGCTACTACCGTGCGAGGCGAGCGCAATATTTTTTTTCCTCGAGAGACATCATGGCTTGCAAACGAGCGAAGCATGGCAGTTGCCCCGCCTCTCTCCTCCTCATTAGCATTTAAAGCTACAGACACAGAAATGGCACGTCCTAAGGAAAGCTCATTGTGGGACTGGCTCATAGTGGCTGAAATTCTGCACCAAGGCTGAATTTCGGGAAAGAGACTTCAGATACAGTACTAGGGACCACTTAGGCCTATATAAAAGCATCCAAAAAGCAGCATGTCATGGGACCTTTAAGATAAGCTGATGTCACTGATATTTATTTGTTCTTGGTGGCTGCTCAGCCAATGGTTCTCATGGAAATTGCTAATGTAACAGTTGTGTGTGTGGCTGTAATTAATTGATTGTATACTATATACATTAAAATGTAAGATACTCTGCTTAAGTGTCATCACACAGTTCTTTGCACACTGCAGTCACAGCATATATGGGTGCTAAAATCTGAAATTTGATGCTTCATGAGCAGTAATGTTACTAAACAGGAAGGAGTGGAATATTTACACATTTTGTGGGTATGGGTGGTGGATAGATTATCTATGTGGATGATATTATCTCTCGGCTCTACACTCACATGCATGCAGAGAGCATCTAAAATTTACAACAAAACATTTCCTAAATATTAGTATCCTATCCACATCTGTCAGAAAGAGTTATGCGTGCACATAAACCATTCTACAATCAATTAAGATAAAAAAATAAATTATATATATATATATATATATATATATATAGATAGATAGATACTGAACAAAATTATAAACGCAACACTTTTGTTTTTGCCCCCATTTTTCATGAGCTGAACTCAAAGATCTAAGATTTGTGAACAATATTTGAGAGAAATAGACCTTTTGTGTACATAGAAAAAGTCTTAGATCTTGAGTTCAGCTCATGAAAAATGGGGGCAAAAACAAAAGTGTTGCGTTTATAATTTTGCTCAGTGTATATATATATATGCATATAATGTATTTATATTGTCAAAACATTTAGATACTATTTATTTGAAGTTGAATAGTTGAAAATGAAATGTTGTGGAAAATTTACTCACCCTCAAGCTATCCTAGACATATTTGTTTCTTCGTTTGAAAAGATTTGGATACATTTAGCCTTACATCTCTTGCTCACCTTTGGATCCTCTGCAGTGAATGGGTGCCATCAGAATGAGAGTACAAACAGCTGATAAAAACATCACAATAATCCACAAGTAATCCACACCTCTCCAGTCCATCAATTAAAGTTCTGTGAAGTGAAAAGCTGCAAGTTTCATTTTTGGGTGAACTATTATTTAAAATATTGCAATCACATCACAAAATATTATAGTATATAAGTGTTGGTGTAGGGACTGCAAAACCATAACATATAAAATCTAAGTGCTTTAAGATATATGATACCAACAGGAAACGTCACCTAATACTAATGAGGGCATCATTTGTGGTTACTCCGAGAGAGACTTTTTCTGGGTTTTACTCTGCTCCATTTACAGGAAATGCATGATGTTTCATATCTGGGAAAAATGCTGATGCTAAATGTGTTTCAATTTTTCATTAAAATTACAGTGTTTCTGAACTTTAATTAACTCAACAAATTGATGTTTTAAAACTGACAAAGAAATATTGTGGCAATATAATTTTCCTCCTGTTTGATAAGTGGGCTGAGGCATTGTTAACGTCTCCCTGTGTCAATAAGGATATGACGAACAAACTGTTGGTAAAGCTGGACGATCCTTTGGTCATGTGCCTTAAGTGAGCATAACATGCACACACACTTCCTAGTTAACACTTTTTTTGTCTTTCTGACTCTCAGTTGTTATTTGGCTCATTTGATTACTTTTGAATGTTTGTATTATGTAGTCATTTACAGCTCATGCAAGTTTTCGCCAGTCTCACCTGACTGTCTGTTAAGAGTCGTTAATATGCAGTCAGCCAAAATCTATGTATGACATTGCCCTTATAGGGAAATCTGAGCTAAAAGTGAGATTTAACGAGCCAACGGAGGGTAGCAAAGAACCTGTAAAATACTGGGCTTGGAGATTATGTAAATATAAAAAATATTTCCAAATGAGGCCACAGCCAAGGCTAGGAAAAAAACCTTCTATGGTGTCAGAAATGTTGTTGTGGTTGCATGTGATGTGTTCACCGACTGAAGCGCTAATTAGAAAAGAGTCAGCATTTAGAAAAGCCAGCACTAGTTATTGTATTTTAAATAATAACTGTAAGGTTAAAAGCTTTGCTAATGTGCAAAGTGGTTTTAATGTAATTTCAGGACTCCAGATCTGAGAAGGTGTTCTGTGACTTCAGCAACATGTCTCACTTGTGTTGGTCGCCTACATCCCCAAAATATACCAGTAATTATTCAACTAGAGTTTTCACATTTTAATCAAAAACATGGGGTTGCAGAAGGAGAGAGAGTGGGAAAGTTATAATAAACTTCCAATTGACTTTCAGCACCAGCCAGCAATGCAAATCCAGGCACAATTGCATCCCATCTCTCCTGAAGCTTGATTTGAATGCAAATTTGCAAAAACATCCATTTTGAATACGTGGAAACACAGCTTGACATTCAGAGCAAGTACTTGTGCACAAATGTGATTTTGCATGTCACAGATTTGTGTGTAGGTATCTTTTCTTGCTGATGGTGGAGTTTCCATGGCTCCTTATTGTGAATAATCATTTTATATACCAACTTGACATACTGTGACCTTTTTATACATAAATGAATGGAAAGATGGATTGCACCTTTCTCAACTGTGAATCTAAAGCCTCTCAGCATAAACCACAACACATCAAAAGTGTGAAACTCTCTTGCTGTAGTAACTGTCAGTACTACATTCAAGAATAAAGAGCTGCTGGAGCATCACATATTGATAATATTCACAAAGTCTTCATTATTGTCATTATGCACAAAGACATCACTTGGTGGATCAGACTGATATGACTGAAAAACATGGTTGCTGAAGCTCAACTTGGCCTGTCAAAACAATAACAAAATTCGATTGTGCATCTATATTTAATCCAAAAGCCCCTTATATTGTGTTGCTGAATATCACGTTTTGTCTTATGAACTAAAGCAGGAAATTTAGTCCAAGTTTATAAAATGAGAGGTTGGGTGGGTCTGTTTATTTAGAAGCCTGTACAGCTTTCTCTTAGAGGAACCTTCTCATACTCTGAGTCTGACCCTTAAAATTAAATTTTGTTGTTGTAATATAACGCTATTATATATTAGATACACACCTAGGTACACAGGTGGACCAATGTAGTTTTAAAATAACCGCGCCAAATGGCTCATATTCGAACAAAAAGAGCGCTGTCTGTCCAGTGATTGTTTTAGCTTTCTCTTTCTGTCAGGGCTCTCTGTTGCAGTGGAGAGGGTGTTAGCGAGTCTCATCTGTATTCTTCCACGCGGTGCCTCCCCTACAGGCGTGTTTTGACTTGACAAAATGTTACGCGTGCTTCCTGGTTTGAAGCACTATTACCTCAGGTACGCCGCAAACTACAACAA